AGAAGAATTGGGAGGAGGTGATAAGACAGGATTTAGGACTTCTCGACCTGACTGAGGATATGGCCCTAGATAGGAACCTTTGGAGAACTAGGATTAGAGTAGCTGGATAGAAGCTCGGTGTTGTAGAGGTTGTTTTGTAGTGTGTTGTATTTGTTGGGAATCTTTTGCTATTGTTTGTACTTGTTGCTTGTACTTGGTGCCTTATCTGTGCTATACTGTGTTCTCTTCCATATTTTTGTGCAGGTGGAGCCGGGGGTCTCTTGGAAACAGCCTCCCTACTTCCGAGTAGGGGCAAGGTCTGCGTACACACACCCTCCCCAGACCCTACTGTTGTGGGATTCAACTGGGTTGTTGTTGTTGTATTATTTGTAAAACTATCCAGAAAAGTAATTCATATTTATTATTGGAGATTCTCCTTGGCTTTATTACTTATATGAGTTTAAGATTCTTGCTCATATTTTGATAAAGATTTTCCTTCATCTTTATTATTTATGAAGTTAGATCCTGATTTCATAATTTGATAAAGACTATCCTTCATTTATTTTCCCCACCAATCTTGAGTTCTATCACCAACCAAGCTCCAAATTCCTCATACCACATTGGGGTGAATCTACACATTTTACTATAAACAAGGGTTTGAGGAAAATATTTAAACAATGCATGTACTGAAACCATGAGTAAATACCCTATGTGAATATTCTCTCTCAACCGGATTCTATGTCATAGAATAGATTGGAACACTTTTCTTCAGATTTGTTTCAAGATTTGTGGTGCAAATTTCATTTGGAATTTCTTGAATTGGAGATTGGGTTTGAGGTTCTTCAATCGGGTTTATTGTTTGAGTTTCTTGAATTAAGATTGTAGTTGAATTTCAGGTTCAATAACATTTTGTTGTGGAAGTGTAGGTTTTAACCTTTTATAATAAGATTCTAAACCTAATATAAGGTAAATGCAAAAAATAAAACATGTTTTTGATGTGAGAAGGTCCACAATAGGTGATGTGCACCTTAGGTCCACCAAAGAAGCACTCCTAATATAATACTCCCTGTCCCAGAAAGGTTTTTGTGTTGTGGATTACGATCGTTGGCTGAATTTATTTTCAAGCCCATGATAATTGAGGTTAAATTCAAAAATAAAATGTATATCTTTAAGCAACAACGCAGTTGAATCCAACAAAAGTAGGGTCCGAGAAGGGTGTGTACGCAGACCTTACCCTTACTCGAAGTGAGGCTGTTTCCAACGATACTCCCGGCTCAAGCACCACAAGTAATCGCGTATGTCTGTTTCCGGATCACCCATGAAGTGTGTCGAAAAATGCATTGACTCACTGTTAATTCACTATTAAAAGAAGTGTAGATAGTTTAAACTTTAAAGACTCATTTCGCTTTTTTCCATCTTATCACAGAGTCAATAAATAGTGAATCTTTGGCTCCACCAGAGATATAGGAAAAATTATATCTTCCAAAAGACCAAAACTACATAAAAGAATTTACAAAACAAGATGTGACAATATTATATTATTTTATCAAATGAGTAATGAAAATAAGCCAAAAAGTGATTGATTCACACTGAAATAATGAACAGGAAAACCTTCCTACTTTCTAGGATGGAGGGAGTACAAACTATTAATACCATTATTTAAAATATAATACTCCGTAATTTGTAATAAATCGCAAGTATAATTTCTTGGTGTTACCTTTCATTGTCTAATTGTGTAGTAGAAAATATCCACCTTTGAAAGTTGAAATATCAATTTTTGTATTTTGCAAAATAGTCAAACTCAATTAACTACAAAATCATTTAGAATAAAATTCGATTTTGGTGTTATGCAAAAGATACAAACTCACCAGAGGGCAAGAGGAAGTGGTTTGTGTAATGTTGTGTACAAAGCTATATCAAAACTAAACCAAGGTTCTTTCATCAAGGGCGGGAACTAGTATATAATGTACTGTTTTGTCAGGATCTTCCTAGAGGCTATGAAAGGAAGAGAATCTCCCCCTAGTGTATGCTGAAGTTGAACGTAAAAAAAGACTTATGACTCATTTAACTGGTAGTTTCTAGGGAGCTACCTTATGGGTCTTTGCTTTCCTAATATATTTATAACCTGGATAATGAATGGAGTAAGAACAGCCCTTAATTCTATCAATATTAATGGGAGCAGTCAAGACTATTTTAAAGGGGCTTGTGGAATTCACCAAGGTGATCCAATGCCCCCCCTTCTCTT